AGTTGGGGTGGAAATATTCTTTTCCCCTATAATTGATCTGCTCTCATTCGTACGCAAACTTTCCCCCCATTTCTCTTCCCCTTTGTTCTCTTCTCTTTTTTTCTTCATTTCTTTCTTCCCAACTTTTCTTCCCTTCTTCCTTTCTTTTTTTTTCTACCCTTTTTTCCTTACCTATTCTTTCCCCTTTTTTCTTCCCTTTTTTCTTTCCTTTTTTCTCTTCTTTCTTTCACATTTTCTTCTCTTTTTCCGCCCTTTTCTCGTTCCTTTACCTTCTTTTTCATTTCCTTTTCTTCTTTTCTTCTTTAAGTCCCACCCTCCACCTACTTTTCTTCCCTTTTCGGTCCCATTTGTCTTCCTATCTTCGTCGTACACGTAGCTCTTCCCGTTTCCCCCCCTTTCTTACCTTCTTGATGTGTTTTGGGACTGGAGTTTTCTGCAAGACAGTAGCTGGTCTAGGAAAAACAACGAGCAAAATTGAGAATGAAGTGGGGAGGCAGGAAAAAATGGGATGGGGGGGGGGGGGCATTGGTAGAGGCGCATTGGTAATCCAAGGCACAACTAGAAATGAGCAATATTAGTGACCAAACACGTTTCTTCACATCTGCCAGTTCCGCAAATAATAGTTTGCAATTCCTTTAAAAAAGTAAGTCGTGTCGCTTGGTAAAGACACAGACCCTAAGAATAAACACTTTCGTCCAATTTTGCTTTCATTAAAATGAAACTAATAGTTTGAAAACCAAAATAAATGCGATCATTGTGCTAATAAGTAATATAAACATAGATCCCAAGAACAAAAAATGAGATTTAATTTGGTGGATACATGTTGCTCGTATGGCTGTGAATCAAGAGTCGGCATATTTTTAAAATTACTGATATCAATGGCTAAATTCTGGAGCATGCATTTTTTACGCTAAAAAGCTTCGTCATGCTCTTCTTAGGAATATTGAAAACTACCTTCGTTTAGATTTTGAGGTATGAAAAGCGTGTGTTTTCTTCTTTAAAAAAGACGCAAAGATCGATCCACCAGAATCATATAACATAGATTATTACAGGTCGAAAAACGAAAGCAAAAGCAGCGGCAGCAGAAGCAACAACAACAACAGCAACAACATCAACAACAACAACGAAAAACAACAACAACAACAGCAACAACAACAACAACAACAACAACAACGACGACGACGACGATGACGACGACGACGACGACGACGACGACGACAACGACGTC